AATAATAATAATAATAATAATAATAATAATAATAATAATAATAATAATAATAATAATAATAATAATAATAACAATAATAATAATAATAATAAACAATAATAATAATATATACCATAACAATCTCGACAATGCCTCTTACATACTAACTCAAATCGAACAACTCTTTACACTTTGTAAATATAAGCCAAACAGTGTCCTCATGCCTTAAATACTATCTCGACAATGTCGCCTTGCCTGACAAACAAACTCCGACAACGACATAAATAAGAATCGGACAACATCTTAACCTCGTAAATATAAACCCGATCTCACATTGTCCTCACGTCTTAAATTCTAATCCGATAATGTCTCCATGTCATAAATGCAAAAATTTCGATAATGCGGTCAGGAAGCAGATAATGTTTTGATTCCTTTCAATGCCTGGCTTTAAATGCTTTCAAAATATGAATCAGTGAACATTTTTCTTTAGCTTGTTTTTTTTTTCGAAAGATAAAAAGAACAAAATGATTCACAAGAAAAAAAAAAGATGCCGCAATAAACCAAATTTTATTGATCGTTGTTTTCAACAAAAAAAAAAAAGTCCTGCTAAAAGTTCGAAACTAAACGATTGGAAATTTTTTTTTTGTGAAATGCATTCGGTTATAAAATCTTTGGAAAAGGTTTGTTTACTTTTATACTTTCTTCTTTAATGTTAAGCATACTGCTTGGAAATTAATGCAAAAAATAAATTTTAGATAATTTAAAAAAATTTCAAACAAATTTTTAAGATGTACAAAAGTCAAATGTATCTTTGAAAGCAATAAATAAGAGATAAAAGAAAAATCGAAATCCCTTCTAATAAATTTGAATATTTCGACAAATTCGCATCCCGAAAAAAGCAAATGATAATTAATAACAGCTAATTACATTGAGGGAGCAATTTTATTAGTTTAGAGATTGCTTAAATCAAAAATAAAAGTAAAATGTGTCAAGTAAACTCCAAAAGTGCATTTGAAATTAAAAAAAAAGAACATAACAAAAGATGAAATGAAATAAATTTGAATGAATTGGAAAGAAAGAAAATATTTATTGTACAAATATGAAAACATCAAAGGCTGAAGTAAAATCATTATACTAAAGAGAAACAAGAATACTTTACTTTGCTAATGGAAAAATAAAAAAAAAAAACTGGAATTTTGAAAGAAACAATTAGCAAATTAATCAATTACTCGAAATAAAACTTTATAACTTACTTTGAATCAATGAAATTATTAATTTGACAATTCTGCATTAAATTTTGTTCTAAATATTACCCAATATGGATTCTTAGTGTGATTATTTGACAATAAGCATCAAATGAGTTAATAAGCGTTATATTACAGCTATTAACGAAATAATGGAACGGTTTAATGAATATCAAATAAAATGCAATATATTACCACTTTTGATTTATGTCATCCCGTAACAGTATCGGTTATTATTCATGTAACACAAAGTGACTGTTCAGTTCATTAATTTGATGATCTCAAAAAGTAATACTATTGAAATTCAATTTGAGGAAGCATTGAAAAAAAAAAAACTGTATGAAATGGTATTGTATATGTATGAGGACATTTAAATAAATGATATATATCATTATGGAATAAATAAACAAACGGATGAAAGAATCAATAAAAAAAAGAAAAAAATTTTGCTCTCTAAAATCACGCATTTTTTTTAATGTTCTTTTAATCTTTGACATGATTTGATGACAGGAACCGGTATACATTCATAGGCACATATTTGTTGATGTGAGTGTGGTTATGAGTCATGGTAAATATAAAATACGAATTTTATACATAAAATAATTTGTATTAACAATCAACAACTAAGGATGTAGGACATCATAGTCGAATAGAATTTAGTAAATTTATTGAAAGAACATGTAAAACATAACAAATTGAACAATATCACCATATACACCATATATTCCTACAATATTATCGCAAATTGGTCAAAGAAAATGAGTGTCAAAATATCAATTTACTACATAACTGTCATTTAAGTATCAAATATTCGGTATAGGCGATCCTAAAGGATCCTAAAGGACCGCTATCCTAAAGGACTCGAAAAAAAAGAAAAAAACAGAACATAAATAATATATATAATGCTGAAGTAGAACCACGAAGCGATTAATCAAAAATTTCGAAGTTTTAACAAAAATTTCGCACTGCCATAAAAATAAATCCACCATTAAGTACCCGTCTAACATTTTATTTCCTGATTAAAGGAACCAATTAAATAGCAGAGCTTAAAATAATTATTTACTACAATTCCTCTTTCTTCTTCTTGAAGGCCGGTCCAGGGTACTGTCGTCCTTCCAGTGACACTTCGCTTACTTGCGGTTGTTTCAACAAGAAATCTTTTCCTTCCCATGCTTTCGATCCATCCGCAAACATGAAGATTGCACGATTGTCGTCGATTGTGAATGTCTGGAAGAAACAGCTTGCAAAGTTGTCTTTCACCTTTTTACGACAAAGTGATCAAGTTAAAGCGAAATTATTTGGAGGCACTTCAAAAGTTGGACTTTTAAGAAAATAGTACCGTCAATGTAATATGCGATATACCTCCTACTAACAATACGGTTGTGTGTCTCTCGAAGAAATTGGCTAATTCATCAGCGGATCGTCTTAATTCGTGAATGAACAGAAGTGAATTCCCCTCTCGCTAACAACACTTGAAAATACGTCCGTCTTCGATTCCACTTATTCATTATAATTCCCCTCCACACAAGTCAAATTCTCTTGAAATGAGTTATAAGTGAAGGAAAATTCATCAAATGAAATTCTGGAAAAACAACCTGAACATCGATATGGTTGTTGAAGAGACTGTTTCGCCATATCCCAATCCATTTTTCCGTGTAAAACTTCTCGGCTCGTCTGCCATTAACATCACCAATACCAACAAACATCATCACGGACTGTCCCTTCTTTGATAGCATCATTAATTCCTCAGGTGTTTCCGCCTGCATCCGCACATAAGCATTTGAAAAACTAATATTTTCAACCACTGAATCAAATTTAACCCGTGGTGTACCCATAAAGTCGAGGAGGTGAGGTATGGCAATGTTAAACAAGTTTACTAAATAATGAGAAGCAAAAAAAATAAATAAATAAACGAGTATGAAAAACTTTCCATCCCACATCAAAAGGTCTATATTAAGAAGAAATTTCCCATATGTGAGTTAAACCTCGTATAAAATTCCATGAAATTTTATTAAGACAACAAAATACACCTTAGAATGCTCCGTCCTTTAGATCGACCCTATCAGCGACTTGTTTAAGAAAGCTACTTACGACAGTTACAGAAATGCACACCTGTTTCATGATCTTATCAAGATCCGGTTGCTGTGTTTTTCGTTTATACGGTGGCAATTCATCCTCTTCTAATTCATCGTCATCATTTTCCTCCCATTGGTCGTATAATCTTTCCAGATCGCGTTCCGTATAATCACGAATATCCCATAAATTTCAAGAAATATCGACCATTTTAACTTTTATTTAGCTTTCGATAACTTTAACACTTATTTTTACTTGGTAATTTTAATTTTTACTAAGACTTGAAAATAAAAAATGACACGTTCATGAATGCAACGTTACATATGAAAGTCTCAAGGAAAGATGCCAAAAAAAAAAAAGAACATAAAGCACTAACTTTTTTTGCTTCCTTTTGTTTCGTACAATTCACGCAAGTGCTAGCAATTAGCATGCATAGTGTAAACCAAATTGGCATCACTAACATAACGAAACAATCCCGCAACTGAAAACTGCAAATCAAATGACAATTACCGAAAAGAGTTGCTAGAAGTAAAATTGCGGCCCGCGTAAATCTCCGTCACTTTCATAAATACGTATGATGTGTTTTCCTTCAAATACATTGTTAATACTAACTGTTCAATTTGTAAAATAGCACATCTAGTGTTAATTTAATACGAAATCGATTTAATAAGTTAATTTGTTCTTAAAAATTCCTTCCTTTATTTGGCCCAAAACATACATTAACTTTTCAAGCTTTATATTCTTATGACATTGATAATGACTTGTTTTAATGATCTTATATTCATCTTTTACTGTCCTTAGAATTTTTTTATGAAACTAAAAAATAATATAGAATAGATATATTATTTATTTTTTTATTATTATTTATTTTGTTAGTAAAAAGCGTTTACATCAAACAATTCATTGTTGTAAATGATGAAGTGCAATTGTTACCATGAATTTTAATGCTTTCTTAATCGTTTTCATTATTTTACTTATCCATATATGTAATGCCTATATATGTGATGTCCATTACATATAATATCCATATGTGATGTAATATTGATCAAAGTTTAGTTTAAAGAAAACTTTATAGGCTATAAATGGTTAAACAAACTAAAATGCTTTATTGGCTCAAATATTCCCATAATTAATATTGTTTTGCTTTATGCATAATTAATTTATACTCATCATGCACATATTTTATATGATAAGAATAACAAATTTTCATTAAAATTTCATTTCAATTATTCCATTATTTTCAATTATTCCAATTTTCATTAAAATTTCATTTCAATTATTTTGCTGTTGTTGTTATTTCCTACAATACAGAATTTTGTTTGTTCAAAATTATGCAAATACAGTAAATGTAAATTGGGAAAATTTGAATAAATGGAAAAAAAAATTTATTATAATTTATTAACATATGTTAATTATGCAAATTTAAATTTGTTGATTTAAATAATTGTGTTGTGTTGTGAATTTTATACAAAATGATTGTAATTGATTGATCTAAATGCAAGCATTAAATACAGGTTAAAACCAAAAAGAAACAAAAAAAAATGTTATTTTTTTTCAAAATGATTATTGATTTAATTAATTGTACCTAATTGAATGATAATATTAATTCTAGTCGAAATTTTTTTTGTAAATTTTTGATATCATATACTACTTTTGATAATATTGCATATTAATTGGCACTCTATTGCTTTACTCATATGTATTATCCTAAAATTTTTAAGATAAAAAAAAAAATATTTCAATGAATGATTGCAAAAAATTTGAAATAATTCGTGAATATGAGTTTACTTGAAGCAAATTGTTAGTATTAATGAGTAATCATATCATAGTAATAGTTATGATTATCAAAATTACTATCACATCTATCCTAGTGATACATATATCTATTTGATTCTAAGAAGATTATTAGCTTCATTAATGAAATCTTTTGAAAAGACACAAATAGAATGGTACCAGATAATAAAATGTACTATAGGGAAAGTAGTTAGAGGAAGGGTTGGGAGGTTGAAATATAATTTAAAGAAAAAAAAAAAACGGGTTTCGGCGATAAAATGTATGGCTGTTGTGAAGGAACTCGATACTGCTCAATAATGTTCAAAAATGAGCAATTACGGCAAATGATTGTCACTAATGTCAACAAAAACATCCTTTACCCTTCCAATCTTCTAACGCTTTTTTTTCGATCAATCTGATAACTGATAAATTATGATAATTATCAATTTTATTTTCATCATTCTCGTCATTTACTTTGCTCATTTCGCCTTCAATGCATATGCAATAATGATATTTTTCTTTTTTTTTATTTCTTAAAATCTGCAATTTTTTTTTATTATCCTGATAAGGTGATTGTTGATGATAATTATTATTATCATTGGCACATCTTTTTCTTATTTGCTCCATCTTAATTCTTGTAAAAAAAAAGTTTTATATTTGCTTTAAAACTTCTGTTATGGTTTGTTTGTTTGTTTGTTTGTTTGTTTATTCTGTTGAAAACTTTCTTTATTTGACCCAATTTTTCCTACAATTTTGTTTGTTTTCTCTCATTTTCTTCTTTTTTACTAAGAATTTGTGCATCATTTTTCTTGAGAAGGATAAAAAAAAAAGAAGGAAGAAGAAGAAAAGACTTTTCTCCTCATTTTTATTTAAAAGATTTCATTCTCATTTCACTCAATGAAATCAATTTTTAACATTGCCATTTTAATTTTCATTTTAATATTTCTAGCATTTATTTGTAAAATATTTCTTCTAATAATTCATTTATTGATTGTTTATTGATAGCTATGAATTAAATACTATCATTATAATAAATAACTAGTCAGATATGAATGATATGCTAGTTCATTAATCAGTATAATCAACTTAAATTTGATAATTAAATGAATTATTTCGTTTTATTTTTGATCAACTTAACTTTTTAACTTTTTTTTTCGAGCTTTTAATGATGGAAATTTCCTCAAATAAAAGCTTCACTTTCTTCTATTTGCTATATTAAAGGAAAATTTTAATTGGAATTAATAGTAATTCATTGGAAAATAATTCAGTCGTACTTTATGATAATTTTGAAACATATCTCGAAAGTTCATTAATCAAATGATCGCATGCTTTTTTTTTATCAAATGCACCATTTTTATTATCAAACTTTCTGTTGTTAAAATTTTTATTACTGAAGAAAAAATATTTTTTAGTAAATGGTTTTTTAAATTAAATTCCTCACTGCATAATTCAATCAATGCAATATTCCCTTCATATCGTATTATACCCAAGTGAGGAAAGAAGTAATTTATCAAATTTAAATCTTAAATTGTCATTTTATTGATGCTCAAACTAGCTATTTGTTTGACTACGTGTAATTGAATAAAATATAATATCTATCAAATGCCAATAAGTGATGTTATTTCCTTATCATTGATATGAACATTTTACTCGTAAATATGAGCTGATAAATTTGATAGAAATCAAATGATTGCGCTATTATAACCAAGCTGATATATGAAATTTTAATCAGTGATCCTTTTTTATGATCTAATTTTAAACTGTTTAAGGAATACAATTGAAATAGTTTGGAAAAGATTAAACAATGATTGATTTACTGTTAAGTATAAAACTCGACAAAAAATTTTTAAGAATTAGTTAAAATCATCCACTGAACATCATTTAAATTTATAACATGACAATCGTAAATGATTGTGTATGATCGAAGAAAGAAGAATGGAAGAAAAAATTCTCGAATAGTCGAAGAATGTCGAAGAAGATATTATCAATTCGTTTAGATCAATGGTTCCAAACCTTTACTTCATCAGGAGTCATTTTGGCTTTTTTATTTGTAGCACAGAGACAGAGACAAGGTTAAAAATAATAAATTCTGTTAAATTGAAAATAAATTTTAATCAAAACTTTTAACAAGTCAGTTTATCAAACACTGATAAGAACGCCTTTTTTTACTCATTGCATGCTCCGTTCTCACCGATCATACTTTTAGTTCTTATGAACTATCAATTGGAAAGCATCACCTTATAGAATTGATTATTTTATATATGCCCGAATGTTAATGAGAAGAAATAAGCCAAGGAAGGACTGATGTCATACGCTTTGTTCAAATGATCGTTGTAATTTCTGTAATCAGTTTTGGACAAATTAATGGTTGATGATAATATAATTTATGATAATTAAAGAATTTCAATAGAAACAATTAAATTAATAGTTGAATCTTTACGTATAAAATAATTTAATTACATGAAATAGAATAATTATTATTAATATCTTTCGAAATTTTTCTCAAATCATTTCCTGTAGCGTACAATTCGAAATTATTATTTGCTAAAGATCTTTTATTATTTCTATCACTTTATCATCACTGAATAATTTTACCTCCTTAATTACCTAATTCTTGAATGTAATGTTCTTGAACAAACAATCGTTACAGATAATGAGATCAAATGTCACTTAATATGAATTTAAATTATACGCTATTCAAAGATAGCAATTTTTTGTGAAATTAGCCAAATATCAAAAATCATACATTTATTGGATGATCATTAATGATTGAATGACTGTAATATTTCAGAAGAAGACTTTGTTATCACTGATAATTTCACATCTCCATAATTACCTAATCCAGTATCATAATCAAATTTAACAAGAAAAAGAATTTAAAATATCATTTTAACTTATTCGTTTTCAGTAAATTTTTTAATTCTTTAAAATTATTATTTTTTCATTTTGTTCTTTTTTTTCGTTTTGTTTTTAAATTTGCTTTCAAATTTACCTCTTTTTATCTCTTCTTTTTCTCATCTATTCATATTGCAAGAAAAAAAGACAGGGAGAAGGAGAGAAACAGAGAGAGAGAGAGAGAGAGAGAGAGAGAAAAAAGTGTTCCATTACAGATATGTAACAATTTTCGATTTCTTGTATCTGAAATACATTTTACAGTGAACAATAGTTTGTTAATTGAACAGTGTTAGATTTAACTGGTCAGTTGTCGCAAACAATTAACATGAGTGTCACTTTTGATTTTTAAAATTTTTCAAAAAATTTTAGCAAAATGAAGAATGGGGGAATCAGGAATTGGAAAAGTGTAGGGAAAAAAAGGAGAGAAAGAGATGGCGAGATTTTTGCAAAAAAGAGTATGAATATTTGATTAATTGGTCATTTCTATCGTGAGGTTGGTCAGTGAAACTGGTTTAATGTATAAATGAAATTCTCATTATTTGGTTTATATGATCGTTTGAATCATTAAGAGGAAAGGAAAAAAAAATGATTTTTTTTTTTCACCATTTTAATAGAAACAAATTTGATGGAAGAAATAAAAAGAAAAAAAAATTTTTTTTTTTGAAATACAATTGATAAATTTGAATAAATTCATAAATTAAACGTGATAAGGTAAAAATAAAACGAAAAAAAGTGAAATTGAAAAAGAAAAAAGAAATTTTGCAAATTTTTTTAAGTGAAGTAATTTGAGAAAAAATTTTTTTTAAATGTAATAACTTTTTTTTTACAACGAAATCTCATCAGTTTTTGTTTTTTCTCTCAATTACAGTTGAAAAGAGAAAGAGAGAGAGAGGGAGAGAGAGAAAAAAGGGAGAAAAACAATGAGATTTTT